ATATATTCATAAAATATTAATCAGAAAAATGTGATATATTTTGTAAAAAAAAAAAAAATGTTAAGCTAGCATAAGTGATTAGTTTTACACAGCTTATAGTTTGTTTGTTTGTAATTAAGCACAAAGCTACACAATGGGCTATCTGTGCTTTGCTCACCATGGCTATTGAAACCCGGATTCTAGCGTTGCAAGTTCGCAGACATACTGCTATTCCACTGCAGGGCACACAGCTTATAGAACTTTATGTTTAAAAGCTATTAACCTCTGGGCACGAATGTCGTTATTCTGACATTCTGCTAAGTGTACATATTTTTTCCAATGGCAATTGATTTTAATATGTCCTAAATCTACAAGGAAGAAAAATAAAACTCTTATGAAAAAACACAAACAAAACTGAAATAATAAAATGTTTCTATTGAAAGGAAATATAAGTCAATGAAATCTATAACACTGAGAATAAATTACATTATAAAGTAATCATTAACCAAGTTTAAACTGACATATCACAAAATATAATGCAATGCTTTGTTTGGAAGACATTATTTTTGCTTTTTAATAATGGTACAAATAGAAAAATTTGCATACACATCCAAATAAAACTTTTAACTTGGCTGATATCCTGCTGATTCTTTCAGCTTTTTCTGAGTGATTTCTGTAGAGGAAACAAAATATGCCTTAAAAGTCAAAGTTTTCGTTTTAAATAAAAATAAGTAAATAGTACTCAGTATTTATGGAAAGCAACAAGTAAACTAGCAAGTAATATATCCAGTTTTGCACAGAAAATGCAAAACAAGGTGATTTCCCTGTATAAACATGAGAAAGAATCTTGGATGGAAAAAAAGAATTATACAACATGGGAAAAAATATAGAAAATCCAGTAACAACTTTATTAACTACTCCAAGGTCTACTGAAACGAGGTTATACAGATCTATGTTTCAGTGTTAAGGTGTGTGTGTGGATAGTTAGAATCTATAAATAAACAACAAATTAAAAAGACCACATGCTTAGGGTATAAAGTAAAAAAACTGCAAAAGAAAAAGTATATGAACCACATACAAGTATAAAAACTAAATACTTTATGGTTCTAGGACAGTTTGCTACTGAACATTTCATTCCTGGACGTTTTGCTACTGGTCAGCTCATTACTTGGGTATTTTGCTAACACGTCATTTCGCTACCTGTTCCAGCTGTGTATAAATAATTCATTATGGCATAACTATTTGAGGTAATGGCTGGACATCTATTTGAGAAAAGCCTGAATCATTTTTAAAAAGTTCAGATCTTTCATCATTTTAAATAAAATGTTTTACAAGATAAGAGCCTTTTTATTTTGAAAGAGTGTTTCTCTAATAAACTAATATTGAAGAAATAGTGTTTGTCTAATGAACTAATACTGATGAAATATTTTTATTTTATGATTATAAATAAGATATCTAAGGGAGATTATGACATAGAATTATCAGATAGCAAAATGACTTGTTAGTGAAATACCCTAGTAATGAAAAGACCGGTAGTGAAATTTCCGGGAACAAAATGTTCAGTAGTGAACTGTCTGGCCACCATACTTTACAACCATCATGAGTAATGAAAGTTAGTTTCTCATGTTTATGAAATAAAGAGAGCTGTTTTTTGTAGTTTATTTTACATTAAAGATTATTATTTGTAACACTATGCTTTTCTGTCTTACCAAGGTATATATTTTCCACTTTATGAATCTTCATATGCTTTAATTTACAAGCATAAGTGTGTATGTGTATATAATGGAAGGATACATTGTGTGTGTGTGTGTGTATATGTATGAACATACATTTTTGTAGATGGGTATAACTTTCATTGGAATTAGTTTTGAAGTATATTTGTATTCACTGTTGTAGTTCTCAGTTCTGAACTTTTGAAGTATTTTTAGTTTATAACATTTTGAAGCCTCGACTGCTTTACATAAACAAACACAATTGTGTGTTTCATAGAGATTTGGAGGATAGATAGTTCATTTAACTAAAATATATTTGATAGTGCAAACCTTTGTAACTACTGTTAACTTAATAATCTGTATACTAGTAAGAGTTCAATTTAGCAGGTTAACTTTGTGTAATCAGTGTAATAGATCCAATAAAAATGTGGTATATTGTACAGTACCTTTTTGATGTATATTTACTTGTAACTTGTATAGTTCACAACTTTTACTGATATAATAGCAACATTTAATTAAATGTTAGTTACATAGTTTCTTGAAAATGTGTAATTTATTTATTTGGCCCATAGTTTATTTTAATACATTTTACAAACATTGACAGTCATTATTATGCCTTGATGAACAACAAAAAAGACATTTCTTTGTTTCATTTTAAGTGAAAAGTGTATATTTAATGCAATGAATTTTGACTTGATCCAGCTGACTTCCTCTCCTACTGTCTCTAAATCTCCATCTTTTATAGTTGGCAGACATGATGTTTTTATTATTTCAATTAAAACCAAGACTGTAGCACTTGATTCTGATGTTGACTCAATTATTTTGTGCACAATACTATGACATCTTGCTAGTTCAGAAAAAGTTAAATTTTTTAAAAATATTCTTCTTTCCTACACAATTTATTTTTTTTATAATTCTATTTTTTTATAACAAAACTCTTGTATTTCAATCTTCAGTGTAGGTTTGCAACAGAGGAAGAAATAGCCTTAGTTAACAAGTAAGTTTCATCAATGTTAATAGAAATGCTAATGTTAATAGCCTGTACCCTGGGAATCATTTTAATGTATACAGCATTTTTAATTTAATTTTTATTTTGGCTTGTTTTTGTTCATTTAAATTTGTTCATATATTAGGTAAGATGGATAATGTTTCTCTGTTTATCACATTTTTTTTTAAACAAAAAAGTTCTCAAAGTGTGTTTGAATTTATTACATTAAATGTTACTCATGTGTGTTATAAATATATATTTTGCAGAAAAGGCAACATTGATAAGAGCAAGAAGACTGACACTGTGAAACCGACAAATGTTTTCAAATTTCACACTGACTGTGCTTCAAACTATATGTGTCAGGTGATTTTTTTGTTTTTATTCACAAATTTCTAAAAACCTTGAAGCTGTAGTTGTAAAATTAGTTTTGAAGTTACATTATACAAATCAATTGGTTTTCTATAAGTCATTTTAGCTGAGTGTAAACAGAAATAGACTCACTGGCATGTGATATTCTTTTAGGAAATATATAGATGTGCACTACTGGAAACTGGCTCCTTGTTGCAAGTGACAGAAGCTGTTTGCTCTAGAATAGTAAGTTTTGTCTATATTGTTATTATATAGCCAACAATTCAGTAAAAAGCATAAAATCTTAAAGGCATAAAACTAGCTCAAAGGAGGAAAACATGTTAAACTACTATTGTTTATAACATAATATAAAATACCTTAAAGGAGTAGCACATGGTTTAGCTAGTTCTGCTCAGAACATAAATTCAAACACACTGTAGAATTAAATAAATTGTTTTCCTCTAATCAGAACATAAATTAATGGTTTCACTTAATATATATAAAAGCAAATAATGTTTTCAATCCAAAACATAAAATGAAAAGTCTTAAATTAATGAACCATGTTAATTTCCATGTAGTCATATCAAAAATCCAAAACTGAAATCAAATACCACAAAAAATAAACGTACTGTTTGTCTACTTGGTTTATAACAATTAAATCTGAGAGTTAACCCAAAACCCAAAGCATTTAATACCATAAAAGCATAAAACAAGCAGTTTTATTCAGAATGTAAAAACCTAACAAACTGCAAAATTCTTGTTCTATGTTCAGGGTGTAAAAGTAAACATCTCAAAATATAAAGGTAATTAGTGTTTTGTTTAGAATTTAAAACCAAGTACCACAAAAATGTAAAGCAAGTGTTGTCATGTTTAGAATTTAAAACCAAGTACCACAAAAATGTAAAGCAAGTGTTGTCATGTTCAGGTTGTAAAAAAAATACCAACAGAATGAATTAGTGTTCTTTGCAAAGTCTTAAACAAAAAAAATATGAAAACGTAAAGCAAGTAGTGGTGTGTTTTGTTTGTGAAATCAAATACCATCAAAGCAGAAACAGTTAGTATTCTTTAGAATGTTAAACCATATACTGCAAAAATGTGTTCTGTTCAGAATCTAAAATCAAATTTAAAAAAAAGTACAGAAAGTATTGACCTTTTGTTTAGTTAATCAAAATCAAATCATTAAGATCTGATTAGCTTATAATTTTCTAAAATTTAGACTTTATAATAAACAAAGTATTCAGTAGATTTCATGTTAGCTCTAAAAGTTTTTCTTTTGGCATTCCAGAAAAATTGCTTAAAAGTCATAAAATTAAAAACTTACTGAGAAAATATTTTAATGGCTATTAATTTTTTTTTATAAAGGTTCTCTTATTTATTATAAAATTTTTTTGTCAATTATGTTTTGTTTATTTATTGTTAAACACAAAGCTGCACAATAGGCTATCTTTTCTGTGACTACTACTACAGGGATCAAACCTCAAAATGTTACAAATTTGTATACCCTTAAGATTACTGCTGCACTACTGGGGGAGATTTTTACAGTGCAGTAGGTGATTTTTTAAAAATAACTGCCAGTGGTGTATTTAACGTCGGTGCAATTGAGGCAACACACCATTGGGTCCCTCATATTGCGGGCCCCCAAAATAATGCAAAAATACTTATAACTTTCTATACCTATAGCTGATCAGTATGGACGGCCCCTCTAAAAAATTGCATTGAGTAGTTTAAAGTGTTAAAAATACCTCTAATAACTGGTTAAACATGTAACAACACTTCATTTAACTAATGTTATGTGTTATGCTAATAAATAGTTTCTAAAACATTAGGTGGATATTCTGTCCAAACTAGTAAATAATTGATCCAGAAAAAGATAAGCTGTTGTTACAAATGCCCAAACTTTTGGGTCTCTCTCTCACTCCCAGTCTATCATTCATTTGTGATAACATTTTTGTTACCTTTTTGTATGTTGAATATTTGATTGAAGTTTACAAAATACATACAAAAGAATAATTTTAATACAGTTTTAATGACATCAAATTGTAGATACAATCTATAGGCTGTAGAATTTTGGCTAAAGGTACATGTAATTAATTAAGTAATTTTACTGTTATGTTTAAATGTTGTCCTTTTCATAATTTTGTGAATTAATCTTTCTTGTTTAGTAATATTTGATATGAGAGACTGGTATTTCATATTTCCTGTTTTTGTTATTATTTGCAATATGTATACTGTATGTTTTTTTGTAAATGTTTTTATTTCATAACATAAAGCATGTGAAATGAAAATGTTATTATGAAGATGGGGTTTTATTTGAATAATCATTGTTGAGTCATGCTTTGTTTGCCTTGACTAATTTATTAGTGTAAGGGAGAGAGTGAAAGAATTATAACTCAAAATAGCTTTGAGTTTGCTAGCAGATTGGCCTGGTTACTTTTCTAATGAGTATTTATGTAATATGATGGAGAATAGAGCCTGTATACAGCAGGTTTTCTCTTTCTCTCCTGTGTGGTTTCTTTATCTGCTCAGTCTAGAGTTCACAATCCCTATCTTGAAAGTTACTGTGTGTGTGTTGCATAGTTTTAGATTGTGGTTATAAGTTAAATGCAATAAAATAAACTTGTAATTTGATGAATTATACTCTTAAAGTGGTATACCTTTACTTTAATCTTTAATTTAGTAACCTAAGAAGTATAGGAACCCACTAATTGAAATGCTACATACTGTTTGTAACACACCTAGAACATTAAGGTATCTGAAATTTTATGGGATGATATCCTTCAGAAATGCTACTTATCTCTCTGCACCACTAAAAGCTATTACCCATGTGCAACTGCTGTGGAATTTTCTACACATGTGACAAGCATTGAACATTCCTACACACGTTTATGTGCATTGTAACAGCCTATGACATCATCATCATCATGCTGTAGCACTTCATCAATAAGTGGGTAACATGACCTCTATGCATGGTAATCCCCATGAGTATTAACACATAATCGTAGGCTCATTCATTCCTTGGCACTGCCTGTGTTCAGATGTTTTCTCCTGCTCTTTTCCAGTTTATGGTCAACTTAATTGACTGCCTTTCTTTCTTTAATGCTATACGTATTACTTTTGTCATTGTTACACTTTTGTTCCATTTACCTGATTGCAGCTTCAATTTCTTTAGCCACCACATTTCTACTTCAGGCTACTTTCAACAACATATATGCTAAGTAATATATATATATATATATATATATGTGTGTGTGTGTATTTTAAAAAATCTCAAGGCTCAAACATTCCTTTTCAGGCATTTTCTTCCAACTGAATCAGTGCTAACTGGAGGCACTTTATTTGTTCATGAACCTGACATTCAGTTTATTATCCCTTTAGCTCACATAGCAGATCAGATGCCTGCATGTGACAGGTCTGGAATTTTACTCCATGATGAGGTGCTTTTGATGTTATGGATAACTTAGCTTCTACAATCTTATTGAGCTGTGATGAACCATGGTGTACCAACAAGTTAAATGATGATGTTCCCACTTTTATGTATCAGGTGGTTGGTTCCATTCTGCCTATTTCTTCTCTAGTTCAGGTCTTTCTGTGGAGTCTACCTCATCTATGGAGGTTTTTGGTCAGCTTTTCCACCTCATAACTTTGTTTCTAGCTCTTCTCTCCCTGGTGAGAAAGAGATACACTCTCCTTGTCATGAATCAGGTATGTGATATTATATCTTTTTTATCTATATTTTATAATGACTCTTTGGTTGTTTTACTTCGTTTACCTCCTTCTGTTCCAACCCCACATTGCTCCACATCTTTTTTGTCCCACTCATCTTTGTGACTCATTTGCTATGGCCTCAGGTTGTGGCCCTTTTATATTTCTTGATTCCCTATTTACTGTATATTTTCTTCCTACTTGGGATGCTCCTCTTTCTCCTTTTTTGTCTTTCTTTCCAGCTATATGTGAGTTTTTATTTATCTTTGCCCCTATTCCTTTACTCTGTCTTTGCCCTTTACCTCCTTGCTGAGGCTTTTCATTATGACCACAGTATTTTCGGTGGAGATACCTATTTGTCTTTGTTTGCCTCTATGATTTCCATTTCTTCCTCTTCTGTCTCTGTTTTGACCTGGTTTGTTTTTTGGATCTCCTCAATCAAGTGTCCTCATACTTTCTCTTATATCTAGGACTTTTGTTCACATGAAGTTAGGGGGTTTTGTGACTTGGCATCAATTTGTCATCTCTGAATCACATTCTCATTGTTCCTTGATTCCAGATAGATGACTTCTCAGTCTGCATTAGGTCTTCTTTCTCAGGCTTTATTTAACCAGGTTAAGCATTTCAGATGCCTTCTTTCACATTTCCATTTGTTCTGTGTCTCATCATTGCTCTGGTTTGTCTTCAGTAGTCATGTCTTTCAGTTCCATGTCCTTCCCTTCAGCCTAACTATGGCCTCTTATGTCTTCAGCTGGACCATGCATTCCTTTGCTTAGTGCATACATCTTCTGGGCTTTCATTTCCATTATTATATGGTTATCTGGCTTTTCCTAGCCCCATTTCAACAGGAATTAGTGATTACTACTTCCACTTTTTTGGAAGGCTTCTCACATCGGCTGTTTGGTCTGGCTTTCCAAGTCAATTTTTGGTCCCACTCAGTTTCTTTTTCACCTAGAGACTTTTCTTAACTTGTGTGTGTGGGGAGCAACTTCAACCCTATTTTATGCCATAGATATTTAGGTATCCAATGCACTTCTCTCTCACATTCTCTCTGTCATACACATGTGTGCTTCCTTCAGTGGGCTCTGGGGGATTATTGAAACATGTTCTTTATTCTGTTATCCACTATTGTGTTTCTACTTTCCTCTCTACATCCTTCTGTTGTGGTGATGTGATTGTTCCAACTCATCCTGGGGTATACCACTCCTCTCTGCCTGACTTCCATCTTTCCACCAGTGTCTCTTTCTGGTCAGGGCAAATCTCAATGCCACTACTCTTCCTGGGGTCTAATCTCCAAAGGAATGTTCTCTGCATATCAAGTTTCTGGATATGACTGTGGCTTGTTAGGTTTGCCCTCTTCTTTGGTTGCAGTTATCCTGTCATGATGATCCATTTGGTCAACTCTACAATGATTACTTCAATAAAACTATCAGGGAGGCATGTACTGCTAGGGCTTGTTCTTTCTCACTCTGGACTTCCTTCCTTTGGCCTATAATCATTGTATTCACCTTACCCTTGGATTTGTATCTGGTGGTAGATTGCCTCTCTTGCCTTGATGGAATGCATCCCATGGAATGGTTCTTACTTCCACTGTCTTCCATTGAATTTGTTCCCATTTTGGAACCTTTGATATCAATGCTTTTGCAACTCCCATTTTGGAGGCCTCTTTCAGTTGACCTTGGTCATCCATTTTTTATGCACTGGAAACAACAACTGATTCCTTGGATAAACAGTAAGGGATGCGTTTAAGACATGAATGTCTGAATGACTGTGACCACAAGCATGGAGAATGAGAAACTATATTTTAGAGACAAATGATACAACAGGAGGCCCACAGCTTGGGGTGGGAGGGTAATGGTTCAAGTAGGAGAGAGGGATTGGACTGATGGATGGAGGTGAAAGGAAGGGATTATTGCCTAACAGGAGGCAGAAGGTTGTGGACAATACCCCACAGGAACATGAAATGGGCAAAACATACATGCCCTAGATAAAAAGCCAGGTAGTAGACAGCCCATGTATGTTGCTAGCAAGCAAGAGTAGACAAGATTGAGAGAAAAAATGGGCTATTCCACAAGAAAATCCCATAAGTCACACAAGGGATGAGACAAATCTCACATGTGAAAACAAAGGCACAACACCCTGTCCACTCCTTTCTTCTGAAGACTTGGGTTGCCTGGGTGGGTGTTCAGATGTTTTGTCCCATATCTCTTCCCTCTATTTCATTATTGTATGAATGTTCTCATCTCTATTGTCTTCTGTGGCCTCTGCTGGCTATCTTGCTCTCATGGAAACAGCTGTCCTCAATTTTTCATCTTGAAAGACCTCCTCTTCCTTTTGGTACTTGTCCCTTTCCCCTTTGACTGGTTTGGGTTGCCAATTCATCTGTTTTGCATATTCTCCTTTGTGTAAGTCTGACCATATGCTTATTTGTATCTTCTCCTGCCAGTTTCACCATATCACAACCTCTATTTCCTCTTTTTGTTAGTGGCCTTTGTAGGAGATCTTACAGGCTGGTATGTGGACATTCATCTCCCATTCCTTACATCATTAGTTATTTTCATGTGCCACTGGTTTTTACCTCTTTTCAGTTGCCATTCTTTAGTGAGTTTGCCTGTTGTGTTTTTCAGTCATTTTCATATCATTCATATGTTTCATGACATCTTCGTGTATACCATGATTTTGTACAAATTTCAACACTTTGCGAGTTCCTCAACAAAAAAAAAACACAAACCAAACAGGAGGAGACAAGATTAAATGTTACATGAGGAACTACATCTAACATTCCTTATACTTGGTGCCTTTGGAACCCACCAAGTGGTTGGTGTTGCCTCACAGGGAAAACTTACTCAAAATCCACATCGAGCATGGAAGAATGGAAATCATTAAACCCATCTGCTTTTGCTCAGTAGCCTCTGTTGAGATGAGGTTTTCTGCAAGACTGTTTTGGCAGTATATCTGTAATTGACATTTCCACACCCTTTACAAAACAACAGACTGCATGTGATGTATTTCTGCCCTTATCCCTGACTTGAGCATGCTGTCTTCAGTCATAGTAACCCATTGCATTGTCTCTCTGTGGGAACCCAATTCCAGATGACAGTGCTACATGCACACTCCAGTATTCTACCCAATGCATATCTTCCCCTACTGTTCTGGTGAAGCACAGGAGAACCCATTACTCTTCCAGTCCTGAGAATGTTGATATGAAGAGTTTCATATGCAAGTAGTGCTTTCCACTTGTAAAGAGACTGGTTGGGCCCAACCCGCATATCAGATGTAGGACAAGGGTTTCTCTGAAAGTGTAGTACAGAATACCCCACTAAAATATTTCCAAAGCAATTCCTGGTGGATATCTCCAGCCAGATAGGACTTGGATTTGCCTTACAGGTGAAAGCTCCTCCTTCCTCCACCTGTCATTCCAATATCTGTCTCACGTAAGTATTTCACCAAGAAGGAATGGTCTAAGACCTTAGCTACACTACACATTCCCATTGGCATTGGATTTAACTGATATCCTTTAGTATAAATCTCTCTGTGATATAAATGTAATATATGAATGAATAAATAACGAGTATGAGGAAGAGTATTCTCTCTTTGAAAAAGATATGGCTTCCAACTGGATGCTGCTTTATGTGGTGACCCCTGGTCGTATGGAAGTCACACTATATGGGTTTTCTCTTTCTTTCACTATTTTAGGAAGGAGCTTATCCTTGTAACTTATCTGCACTGGCCCCTTCACCATTTTTAATGTGGGATTCTAGCTCTTAGTGGCAAATAGCATGTCTGAAGTTAGCATCTTCCTTACTTAAAAATGTATATCAGATACATACCTCTCTTCTCACCTTTCCTCCCCACCTCCAGAGAATTTTCTTTGCCTTGTCAAGAATGAGTCTGTGTTCACATGCTAGTGTCACCGTCCTATCAGTAGAGAGCTACAGCATTATGATTGTGATATCATTGGCTAGTGCAATACATGTTGACATGTGTAGGCATGGGAGTTTGTTCAAGACTTGTTGCATGTGCAGGAAATTTCATGGCAGATGCACATAAAGTTAGAGCTCTTATTGGTGCAGAAAGGTAAGTAGCTATCTGAAATATATTATCAGGTAAGGAAAATATTAATTTGTTTGTGATGAACCATAAGACTTTATTTATAGAAATATGGAAATTATAAATATAATTCTATCATTCATTTACAACTAGTTTCATTTGGAAGTTATCTTGAATTATGTAATGAATTACTCTATTTACACCTTAAGAAAACTATAAAATTTGGAAAAGCCTGTATTGGTGTACATTATGAATTGAAAAAACAACTAAATGTGAATTATAAGCAACTTTATTTATGTAAGTAATGCTAGAAGAATGTATATTTGATTTTAATATATAGCTGGGAATGCAGGATCTTTTTAAAATTGTATGTTTTTAGGTAAAAAAATTTTAACTCTTGGTAGTACAAAATTTTATATGATTTGTTATTGGTCTTTTTATGTAAATGGTTTGTCTGCAGTGGGTCAACAGTAAGTCTGATGACTTATATTACTAAAAACCAGGTCAGATAGCCCATTGTGTAGCTTAGTGCTTAACAACAAACAAGCAAAATATTTTAGTTGTTTGAATATAAAGTTTCTGTTTTTCAGTGCTGTAATGGTGTAGCCATTAGTCAACCATTGGTGCATCATGATGAAGCAGATGAAGTCTGTAGCTTTTGTTTCATCAACTCAGTAACTGTTGCAGCAAAATTTGCCATGACAAAGTTTGGCTTAAAAAGGTGGAATATGATCATCTCTTTTTGATTTAAGCATGTTTAGCTTTATGGTGGTACATTACAGTTAACAGTTGATATGTGACTTATATATCATGTTCTTTCTGTAATCTACATAGTTATTACAAATTTCTTATATTTTTCTGTCTCTGAATTGAAATTATTTAATTTTTAATGTAATTTCAAGTTTAAATTTGATTTCTAATAAATGCATGTTGTTTGGACATCAAAATTTTGATGCTTCTAAAATGCTGTCATTAACTGATAGTGCAGTATTGTTATAGAAATAAAAGTTATAAAAGATCAGGGAACCGAAAACTGTGAGAGCATATGTTTTCATTACTCTGAGATTAATAGGTATTATAGTACTTAGGGTGATGCAGTGAGTTCTGAAGACTTATTAACTGTAACTTCAGAATAATTAGCTGAAATTTTATTCTAAAATAGTAAAGTTTCATACATTTTGAGACCAGTTTTTCTTGTACAGGCCTTAATAAATTGTTGATTACAAAGTGAAATGGATTTATCAAAATGACCCACAATATCCCATATAAAATTGATATAAAACATATGTTATTTAATTATCTTTCACTAAAATGAGAGAAGTATTTTTCTCTTTATTTGTTAAAATGTTTGTGATAGAAAGCCTTTTTATAATATAAGTTTCTGTGAGAGGATAAAAATGGGATAAACAGTGATTCCAACTGAGTTTTGATACGAAGAAAGTAGATGAAAAACAGAAATTAGTGCAAAGGGAAGAGCTTGATTTTTGGAGAGAATATATATATACTTTACATACATCTGTTTTAAAGGAATTGTAATTAAATTGAGATATAAAAAAGTTAAAAACTTGCAGTGTAAAACTTCCCTAAAACAGACAAGTACTAAAGTCTTGTTTGAGATCCCTCTTTTAAATGTTAACCATATGCATCTCTGAGACTTCTCATGTATTCTGACAAATCTTTTTTGCTTGTCTCAGCTTAAAGACTACTTAACATTTTTCCCAGTAAATTTTTATTGCATTCTAATAGCACAGAAATCCCCAAAGCATCTTTGTTTCTGCAAAAGTAAACTAAACTCTTTCAAAATGTTGTTACCAGTTTTGTAAAAAATCATTCTGGTAGATCTTTAAGTGTGTGAAAGCTATTGATATTCTTTAGAGCAAACAGTATTAAAAATCAAAAGAAGAAAAAAACAATCGATTTCTTACAATGCAAAAAAATGGGACAAATCCATTGTACTTTTAGCATATTGTTATGACAGCGGAAGTCACACGATGCTGGGAGTATGCACACTGGAGTTTCTAGAAAGATCATGACTTTTCGGGGAACCTCACAAGTGTCCCATTGTTTGCTAGATACCCTCTTTTTTAGTATATAAGCCAGCGATAGATAGATATGCAGATAGATTGAAGATAGAGATAATTGAGTCAAGCAAACAGTCGGCACAGTAAGTAAAGTGTGTGAATCACTGTGATTTATAACGTGTGTTATAAAGGTTGTTAAGTTTAAAGTGACTGTGGAAATTAAATGTATTACAAAGTTGGTAATGAGAAAGAATAAACTAGTTTTAATCAAGAAGGGACTTGTATTGCTGAAGTCACTCGGAAAGAATTTTTACCAGAAATTATCAAACAAGCAGATACATAACAATATTAAAACCATCCATCAATACAATAAAGACCCAATAACTCCAATAAGCTTTAAAAATTGCATCAATAATATGGCTGTTTTAGGTATTCAAACTAGATTTGATTTCAAAACAACTAGAAAGATAAAAAGAGTAGTTATTTGTAGTATTTTATTTAAACTTCTATGTACAATAACTATTACTTTAAAATTCAGTCGTTGAACATTATCGAATGACCTTCCTCATGTGATTTTGTATCACTGTGTCAAGTTGTATTGATTTGGTAGTTTTTTCCGAAATTAGATATGAAATTAGATGGGGGGGGGGGTCACCCCCACGCCCTCAAGACCTTCCACTTATCATCCTGTATCGCTATGTCAAGTTTGGTGTTGATTGATCAAGAAATGTGGAAACATATAAGGAACAGATATGAAATGATAGATATACAACCGTGTATTTTTTTCCTGGACACACTTTGCTTTATGTAGTAGATTTTATGTGGTATGTGTGTTTATAAGCTAATTTTAATTACCAGTCTGCTCTCACAAGTAACCTCTCCTTTGGAAATCCATTGTCACATGTTTCATTGTGTAAAATCAAACTCTAACATACACTTGATGTTATTGATATGTGAAACCAGTTATATAGCAGTTTTCCCCATTATGTTACAAAAGAACACATAATCACCTATTTGTTTATTATTCAATTCACCCCTGATGAAAAAAAAAAGCCTTCTATAAGTACTTAGGTTATTAGGTCTATGTTATGTGTAGTTTATGTTGTTTTTAGGGATTCACAAATATCATGAATGTGTGTTTTCTACATCATGATATGTTAATTCCCAACTAAGGTTTGTATGTAATCTGTAGTGACAAGTTTCAGTCTTTATATTTCATGCTATTTCAAAAGTTGAGCTTCCAATAAGGTACATTACCTCCTTTCAGATAAATAGCTACAATCGTTCAGTGCTGCCATCTATATTCAAAATAAATTTTTATGCATGCCACAGGTTTTTTTCTCTATCCTCCATTGGAATTGACTGATTTGATAGCTTTTTTACACCACCAGATTTTGCAGTGTCTTTCCCTACCCCTCAGAATCAGCTAGGCCTAATATGGCATTTATCGACGATTTCTCAGGTTTGTGACGTTTTATTCCATTTCCCATTTTTCTGTTATTCCTTATTACCTCCAAGTTGGCTTGTTTGTCATCTTCAGCTATTTACACACATAGTTTCACTGTTGTTGGGATCTTCTTCTCCCAAGTTCGTTTGTTGCCTCTTGATTTTAGGGTTTTACCTATGGCTTTTTTTTCTCTGGCAGAATGTTTTTGATCATGTATCAGAGACTTTGGAATCATGTGAGCAATCTGTGCATCAACACTCTACTCTTTCATTTTTGGTTGCATGTTTGTCACAGTTGGAGCCACGACAACTCCCCATTCCTTTTTCCTGTCATGGTCCTTATCTACCCATCCCTGTTCCTCCTTCCAGGGGTTTCTCATGTTGTTGTTGTATTTAGTGTAGATGGGCATGCCACCAACAGTACCGGAGACTAACCAGCTGGTTCCAGTCCTGTGGGAACTTGAATGTATGATTTTGCTACCCTCTGGTAATCTTTCACTACAGATCCATGGGGTTCTTCAGGTTTTATCAGGGACTTGCTCTACTATTTCTTTCCCCACATCCTTTGTCCCTGGCCTTTTCCTTCCACATGACATGGGATCCTGCCACCAGCCAGCATCTGTCGGTAGAGGTACAAGATTTTCTGTCTCTTCAGGCCATTGCACCTGTTCATCATCTTTCTCTAGGCTTTTATTCCAGGCTGTTTGATGTTCTCACACCAAACTGGAGACTGGTGGCTTGTATTAGGTTTGTCCCACCTCATTCTAATTTTCAATCTGCCCCGTTAAAGGTTGGAGTCGTTTTGCACCCTTAGGTAGGCTTGTTCTCCAGGTTTATTGATGACTAAGAGGAATATTACAAATGATTATTTGCGTATCCTGATATTTCATCACTCGTGACCCTCTCTTTGGATTATTCTCCATGGGGTGGTTTCTCTGTTTTGTACACTGCCCTTTGGACTTGCTTCAGCTCTCTATGTTTTGTCAGGCATTCAGAGCATTTGTTCATCACTTATATGCTCTTGGGTTGCGCTTTCTTCTTTCTTTGGTCAACTGGCCACTGTTCCCTCATTCTAAACAGGAATCTGCCTGTTCCCTTATTAGCTGCTCCTGGAGGTGGCTATAATGGGCTGTTAATTAAGTTGGAGAAGTCCTTACTATGACCTGTCTAACATCTTGTCCATTTGGGTGTTTTTTTTTTACTACACAGATTTCAGTAGGGCCCACCCTTCTCCTCCTCAACTTCATTTAGTGAGGTTTCAGTTCAATTACATGTTGCAAAGCTCTATCACTTTTGGGGATGTGATCTTCCATGGTAGCCCTTATTCTCTTAGGTCAGGCTCATCTGCTGGCTCTTTTAGCTCCCTGCTGGAAGTTCGCAGGGATCCTTTGTCAGCTCTTATTACCCTTCCTCCTACCCTTGTTTTGAATCAGCATTGATGGTTAGATATATTCACCCACTTCCTCCTCCTCATCTGGTTTTCCACAATTCATGGATGCATTCCTTTGTAGATGGGAGTGTGGGTTGATCAACTGGAAGATTCAAGATTTTTGGTCTACAGTCGAGAGGTCTCATCCTATCAACATCTTGGAGCTTGTTCATTTTCTTCATCTGTCCTGAAATTGTCTGGAAATGATCCATTCTGACTTTTCTTCAGTGGTTGTTTATCTCAAGTACCATGGCGGACCCATTCTCTATCCTTCTGAATTCATACATTGGATTTTCCTTTTGGGCCCACATGCTCAATATTCCTATCAATGTGTGTCATGTTCTTGGTGCTTTCACTCTTGTTGTGGATTGGATTCCTGTCCAGACAACATTTATCTGGTGGAGTTGTCTCTTGATCCTTTTATTTTCCAATGGTTTTAATTTTGGTGGGGTACTTCTTACATTGAAGCTTTTGCTAGATCCCTTAACCACAACTTGCCTTGGATTTGGTCTCTGGTTCTTCATCTTCTTTCTCTGGCTATCGATGTTTTCAGCCAAGATTGGACCTACACATTGGTCTATCCTCCTGTTCTCCTTCTACTCCAGGTGATTTTGTTCTTCACCATGTTCAGTCCTTCTGAGAGCTTTTTTCTGACTGCCTCAGCTGTGGTTTCCGTGGCTTCTCCAGTTCCAACTTCCTCCTCCTTTACCTTTTCCTCAGTATCCATCCCTTCTTTGCCATGCTCAGTCACCGATGTTTCATCCAGACACACGTCTGGTTTCCCTCTGGTCATTGGCAAGGTGGTCCAGCTTTTCCCAATGGTTAGCCTCTTTTCTGGTTGGTTCATTCGTCCTTCCTACATGAAAGTTTCTCAATGGAAATGGAAATTTGTCCGTCACTGGTTTCTGGGTCCAGGGTTTCCCCTGATGAACCTCTGTTCTTAGTCATGCAGATTTCCTCTCTCTTGATGTTTGGATTTGGGGTCTTCTGTTTCCTTGGTCTCAGAATTTAGGGTGGTCCTGTTACACACCTCTCATTTTTCCCTGTTGTGCTGGCATTTACCTCTCCTACACTTTATCTGTGAATGTGTTCCTTCTGGATTTGTCATCTGCCACAGTGGGCTGCCCTTCCAGATGGGAGATATTAATGTGGTCTTGGACTGCCTCACTTTGCCTATGTTCAAACCTCTCTCCGAGTGCTCCTTGTTTAACCTTCTCATATGTTTCCTTCCTCCTCATATTTGCCTGTGGATGTCAGTGGTCTGTGTATTTGCCATCGATGTTCCACATACTCTTTATCCTTCTATATATCTTCTCCTTTTTCTGGATCATTTTTCCTCCCTAACATTTCCTTTATTTAGCCACTTTCCCTTCCTTCCATTTCACACCTTTTTCCTCATCCTGATCCAGATCGACTTCTATGTCTTGTGTGTGTGCTCTTCTCTGTTATATTTCCTGCATGGCTTTCTTCTGTGGTGTCCATGCCTCCCTCTTACTTCCTTGGCAATTGCCCTCTGTTTGTGTTCTTTCTCCTTCCTCCTTTGCCAGCTAGGTTTGGCTTTTCATTCAGTTAGCTTCCTCCTCTTTATGGTCTTCCTCCTATACTTTGTTCTGAGTGTCTTCTCACACAATTCTACACCTTACCTTTTCATTGGCATTTCATCTTCATCGTCCTTTGGAGGTACTTCTTCAATCAGGCATGTAGACTACCCATGATATGTTCATCTCTCACTATTTGCATTGGATCATGGTTTTCTTCTTCTTCAGGTTATTGTCTTCTGCCTGTAGCCATTCTAGAATATCAGTGAGGCTTTGACTGGGTAAGTTTTTTCTTATTTTTCCTTTACAGGAGCCCTTTTCTCTTTTATTAATGCTCATTGTTTGGATCCCACTTTGTGGCGAGTGGTGCCTGCCCAGGTATTCTTTAACTGTTCAAATCCATACTGTCAAGCTATGTGAACTTGCATATCATAATTCCATTGCCATGCCATGCACACTGCAGAGATGGGGTGTTCCACAAGATCATTTGTAGGTTTATCCTCACGATAGCATTGCTTCATAAGTTTGCTTGTCCCAGACTGTACCCACCCATGGACTACATTGGTAAAGCAGAAGGGGATAGCTGTCCATCCATGCTATGCCTTGTATTGAATAAATTGATATGGTCTACTTTTAAAAATAGTGTTTCGCACTCACCCATTGCAATGTCTCAAGTGTTGTCGTTCCTCCAGACTCTCCACTGCCTTTTCCCCCTTTTTCTTCTAGTGGAGTTTGAGAGTCCTTACCATTTTACAGTTCCAAGCCTTTGGGGTGGTGAACCATGGAGTCATCCTCCTGAATGTATTAATGAAATACAAAATACAAACAAAATATAGAAATGATTATACAACCATTCAGTTGAGAGTAGGATGGTGCTGTTCTGCTGGTGTAGATGATGAAACAAATATAAATGGGAGTGAGCTGTCAAAATTACAGTTCACCTTTTTGATTGGGATCCCTCATCCTACCCCCATGTGGATGTCAGTTCCTAGTGGCTGGGTTTTGGATTTAGAGTTGAACCAATCAACATAAATCCTCACACATGTATTACAGATGTCTATGTTCTTCCCTCAATTATACTCTTGTTACAATCTTCTTTCCTACCCCCGGATTGTTGTTGACTTGCTACAGATATGATCCTCTTTCCTGCCCCAACATGGATGTTGCTTCCCGATGGCCTTGATTTTGGATTGTAGTCGACTTGCTGTTTGTATGATCCTCTTTCCTACCCCCCACATGGATATTGGTACCTGATGGCCAGGTTTTAGATTGGAGTTAACTTGCCACCAGTATGATCCTCATTCCTCCTCCCACGTGGATGTATCAGAAATACATTTTTTGTATAGAAAAATTATAACTTAAGAAAGGTTGAGTTTCTTTTTTGACTGAAAATGTTTGGAATACCTGCTTAACAAAATATGAAAGTAACTTCCATAGCAGCATACAGTTTGAAATATTACATGATGCTCATAATGTTTCTGCAGTACAGTAAGTGAATGTTAAGCCTGTTTGCAATCAAAGAGGGAGACATTCCTCTCTACCAGTGCAAACTTTTCTTAGATATATTCCTTAAATACTAAATCAATAAACTAATATACTGGAAACCCAGGTAAGTAAAAGCATTGGCCCAAATGAATGAAAGTTTAATTTATTTAAAATTTAGTACCAGATTTTGTGGGTTAAGCACTGTTGTTTTGAGATACATTGAATCTAGAAAAGGTGCTTCAACACTAATAAGGACAACTAAAGTTAAATTAAAAACATGAGAAAGATATATATATATATATATAATGTTTAATATTTTACATTAAATCTAACTGTAGATAGTTTAGGAGATGTAACTATGGCATTAAAACATCTGTAAGTCTAAGTGTAATTGTCCACATAAAAAAGATTTAGGAAGTTAATAAATTATGAACTTGGGACACAATAAATAGTCCATAAAATAAACAATATACTTTTTAACACAATACAAAAACAATTTTCAATGACTTTTGAATAGGAATTTTATTCAAAATATAATTGTCTTATGTCTGTCAACATCAGTTTAAATTATATTACTTTCTTCTAAATCATTAATCTTCAAGTTATGTTCTAAAGCTTATGTGGAGTTAAATTTAATGTTTTTATACTAATATCAAACATTATAACTAAACATTTAGTTCTTTATGATATACATACAGCAATGTGCTTAAGTTTCTATGTTCTATCTCAGGATCTTGTATTTATTCTCTTAGTAAAATATCTTACGTAATATATATACATTCTCCTAGATATTTTACTGGAAGAATAACTACAAAATCCTGAGATAGAACATAAGAATATAAGTGCATTGTTGTATGTATACCATAAAGAACTAAGTGTTTAATTAGAATGTTTGATATCAGTTATATAAATATTAAATATATATATATGTGTGTGTGTGTAAATAAATAGTTATATACAGTTATTAAATTTCTCTTGTAAACATGTTGAAGAGACTTGTAGCTTTTAATTTCAGAATCATGATAATTGACTGGGATATACATAGTGGAGATGGCATACAATGTGCATTTGAAGATGATCCTAGGTGTGTATTTTTTACTGCATAAAAGTCAGTATATTAAGGTTAAGATTTCATTTTCAATTACTTATTATTATCCTAACATCATTTAGTTAATGTCTTAAATTTATACTTTACTTCTTGTCATCATTTGTTACTGGCCTTATCTAGTTTACTTCCTGTTATTCTGTTTTTAACTTTACAATACCTGACAATTTTACATTAAACCAAGTAGAATGGTTTAATAGTAAATTATCAACATTAATTACAAGTTTCTGTTATAATTAATTTCCATCACTTAGAAACATATTTATGTTTATTTTCTGTAGTAGTGCTCTCATTTTCATCAGAAATTGTACCTTTCTTTGCTTATACTTTCATGAAAATAGGTTATATACTTGTGTCTACATGTTTACATGAACATAGTTATAATGCTTATATAACTTTTTATTTACATTATTAAAAAGACATACAACTGCATAGCAATGAAATGATTGTTTACTTGGGACATTATGGGAAATCTATTGAGATATTCCCTTGCAGTTTGATGCATCATTTTGAGATCACTGACTGTTACTTGTATATGTTAAGCATAAATTACTAGAGAATAGAATTATTTAAAAAGTTCTTAACTTGTTCTGTCACTTATTAGGCTTGTGCCAATGCTTAACATAGTATTATACTTTTATGTCTACACATTCATTTAAACATGATGTTATAGTTAGAAATTACATGTTCTATTTATGTGATACTATGTGTTTACATGAATGTAACATTATTTAAGAACATGTTTATATTAGCAGAGCTGATGAGAGGGGGGGGGAGGCAGCTGACCCGGGGCCCAGGGTCTGTTGTGGGGCCTGGCAGTGGAATATTCCAAAGCTCACTAGAAATGCATATTACATAAAATGGCAACTGCTTTTTCATGGATACATGAAGAAATTTGTCAACTAAATTTATTTTATGAAAAATCAGCAAATATTAATAAATAGAATGAAAGGGGGCCTGGGCTGTCTATTGACACCCCTGTATATTAGCTTAACTTGTACTTTTGTAACATGTTTACATGAACATTAAGTTATGCAACATAAACATGATATTGTGCACTTGTGTGATTACTTGTTTACACAGTGTTTTTACTTTTATATATTTTTGATCTTAATAAGACTGGCCTGCTCTGCACCTTGTTAATTTTTCTACATATATGTGTAAAATGGTTGTATTACCTAATTAAACTTTTCAAATGTAGCAAAGATATTTTCTAAAATATTACTTTTTTCTCAGAAACATTTTCCTTACTTAGATAAGAACAACTACTTTTTACCCCAGAAAATCAAAAGCACTTTTAGAATAACTCAAATTTATGGCATTAACATTAGAAAGTTTGGATGATTCACTTTTAAAAGAAACTTATAAAACAGGTAGTTGTGTATGCATTAGTTACATAAATCTGAAAATAATATCAACCCTTTAAAGTATTCTAATGACTATAGCTACCAATCATTTTCTTTTAATTCTTTATATATCTATGGTATTGTGCATGTAAAAGGTTTTGTGGTAAATTAAAACTGCAATTATCCCAAAGGTCAAAGTTATGTATATTTGACAACAGTTTTGAGATGTCTTTTGCTCACCACTGTGAACCTATATTTATATATGATTTCAAGAATATGTACCATTAATACTACTCATTTTTTCATGTGAATTCTTGAGCTAACAAGAACAAAACACAAAATAATGTGAAGCTCAATCTATCATTTGATTTACCACTCATCTCTGAGTTAAAGCAGTTTTGGGGAATTCCACCCTCATTAACTTTGAGCAATGACAAATATAAAGAACAAGACTATGCTTCATACATAGGTAGATTGTATATTATATGTATGGTGTTGAAATGTCTTTTACTCCATGCAGTGAACCTGTATTTACATATGATTTCAAAAATATTTAGCATTGATTTTCATAAAAAGATAGTAATTCTGAATATATAAAAAATAAGAAGATAAGAGTGAGAGTCATTCAAAGTTATAATTTTTATCAATCTTTCTAATTTAATTGTTTTAGTCTAACAGTAGAACCAACCATTTTGATTGGTGACTTGAAATTTCTACAAGCCAAACCTGAATTCAAACTGGCTATTTACAATTAGATATTTAAATGTTTTGGATGTCATTGATTTGACAGCTCCACTGAATTAGGAGGTAGTTACCAAATTTGACCTAATATCATGGATCAGGCTGCAAAAAAAGGTGAAAACCTAGCAAATTTTATAAATTCCTCCTTAAATTTAATGTTTTGTACAGAATATGAATTGAATGTAATAAATACTCATAAGCCTAAAGGAAAAGATTAAGTTACCCAATTAAGTGGTCCTTAGTTAAGGTTATTCAGGTGACATTTCTGATTGTAATATTTAAGTAAAGATTCAGTTTGAACTACTGATCATGTTTTGAGCAGCTTGGGTAGATTTTGCATCACAACAACATATTCTCTTGTTAATATCATGTTAAGGTTATTCAGGTGACATTTCTGATTGTAATATTTAAGTAAAGATTCAGTTTGAACTACTGGTCATGTTTTGAGCAGCTTGGGTAGATTTTGCATCACAACAACATATTCTCTTCATTGGGAGTTTTCAAATGTTGACAGATATCAATTTGATTTTTACTTTCTCTTAATATGCATCAATCATCACTTCAGAATGGAGTATTAATTGTAATTCTATATTGATAGGATTCTTTACGTATCGGTACGCCATTATGATCGTGGAGATTTCTATTCTCGTGACAGTGGAACCAATTTTGATTTGGTAGAGAAAAGCAGAGGAACTGGATATAATATCATTATACCATGGATCAATGTAAGATACCATTAGATCCTTCAGAAAGAGAACTTTTATTCAGAAAATTATAGATGGTGTAAATAAAGGTTTTGTGATGTAGAATATTTTAGTAAGTTAGCTTGTAAGTGTAGCAGCTTTATATTTCAAATTTTTCCTCTGAAGGAAAGATTTATTAGTTTTCTAGAGAAAAATGTATCAGTATTTCAAATAGTGATTGTGAAATGCTGGTGTATTATGGGAATTTGCCACAAAAAATTAAAATTGGCTTTCTTTTTTTTTTCGAGCAAAAGTGTAAATTGATTGAAGTATTTTCAGGCTCATATTATTGTTTAATTGTGTTTCTATTCTCTTAATGAACTAAATTTACTTTGATTCACATTCAGGGTTTTGTATTTATAGTTTGGAAATGTTCCTTTAATTCTATGATGCTCGTATTCTGGTTTCAAGTTGTAATATGTATGTTAACTTCTGTCTTTTCTCTGTTTGAAAAAGCATATGCAGTGGTTCAAAATTATCTTTTACTTTTATTGTAATTAAGAGCAGAAAACTTTTTTATCATATTTATGTATATTATCAGACTTATATAATTCATAATGATTAATTCATTGAGTTTAATTTTTAAGTTCATAAAAACACTTTCTCAAGACGCTCCATGCTTCTTGAACATTCTTTAGGTTTTTGGATCTTGAAGTGTAGGGGCATGTTTTTGGGTAGTGGTTATGGTGCTGAAGATTGCCAGTTATTGCTGGTAGTGAGATAGTTATCAAATCATTATAAACATTTTGAACATGTAAATCATATTTTAATGCCTGCTTTTTGTATTAGTCAATTTTTTTTATTGTTGTAAATAAAATACTTTTGTCTTTTTCTAATGAGCTTTGGTACTTTAATACTTACATGGCTTAATCATTAATTCTCAGTTTGTAGCTGTTGTAGGCCCCCAGGAAGTAACACAAAATCAATGACTAGGGTAATACCACACTTGGCATTTTGACATGGAAATATAACAACTGAAACCTTAAATTCCTAAAATCGTTTGCCTTTTTCCAGGTTTTAACAGTAATGTCCCAACAGAATGCCCTATCTAAACTGTGCATAGTAATTTGCCAGTTCCAGTAATTTTAATGTACAACTTTTCTTGAGATGTTTAAAGTATAAACTGTTGGTGTTTTGTATGCTTATGATTTTAAACATACATACATAACTTGTTTTAATAATGCTGTTATTTAATTACCTATCTACCTGTAATCATGATAATGTGATTTCTAGATTGTGATGATATCCACAAAAAAGGATTTGAAGACATTTTCCTTTATAACAAATCTATATTTAAATGGTGTATGCTTTGTTATGTAATAGCTTTAGTTTAATAGTTAATGATGTAATTTTTATACTGAGATGATTCCATAAGCTCCAGGTAATACATGAAGTTCTTGTAAATAACCTTAACATTTAATCGATTTTTTATTGAATTTTACAGCATTTTTATGAGTAGCTTTTATTTGGCAAAACTAAGTTTTAGTTTCAAAATATGTTTCATCAACCAGCCAGCCAACCAAGACTGTCTATATGCTCAGACAGTTACCAAGTAGAATCAAAATGTGGTGCTATTTGTAGGTATTTTTTTAATGCACCTATGTTTGTAAGTTATGAGACTGTTAATTATGACATTCAGTCTTTGCATCACTTCTCTAGATCTCCAATTAATCTAAGTAACACACTGTAAGAAACTTTGTACATAGTTTTGTCCTTTCCATTTGATGATTGCATTTTAAACGGTTACTAGGTTTGATGCTAGAGAATGTAATTTACTTTTGACACAATCTAAACTTTGTTGATGCTGATGTAAAATGCTATTCAAAGATAAATACTGTATAGGCGTGTTGCTATATAATATCATGTGTTTCCTATGCATGATGTAAAAATAGAGCTGAATGAACATGATCACTTTTTTAATTATTTCATAATCTATAAAACTAGAAATTAATATAGTTTATGTTACAGTAAGTTTTTATAAACTAATTTTTGCCTTGTGTTAAATCATTGGGTAAAATTGTAATTTATGTGTAGTTTAAAAAAGTGATAAATCCATCTATTAAGTGTTCACACAACTGAAATTTAAAGTGTATAAAATTTATACAGAAGTATTTTAAGTTTATATTTATCATATATTGAAACCACTGTCCATAGTTTTAATGGAATTTATGATCTTTATTTGTTCTGTTAAACACCCCCCAATGTCTCAGCAGTAAGTCCCCAGACTTGCTGTGCTAAAAGCCTGGTTTCAATACCTGTCATAGGTGCAGCACAAATATCCAATTATGTAGCTTTGAGCTTAGCAACAAACAAGCAAGCAAGTGTTTAATTAAGTAATTTTCAGTTTTATTTTTCTATTTTATTACTTGAGACTTCTTTTAGTATATGTGTGTGTACCCTGTACTGCAGATTTTCAGTTTCATAGTGATTGTTTTTATTCAAAACATTTGTAATATATAGAGCAGTGTGATTTTTTCCTTACACTTTGCTTAAAGCTGTCACCTCTATTGATTTATATGTTTTCTATTGATTGATTTTAGGGCGGGCTTGGAGATTATTTATCAGTCATTTTTAGCATCATTTTACCGATTGGTTATGAGGTTAGTAAATAAAATATCAGTTACAATGTTTTTTAAAGTTGGATGTTTATTAATCCTTTGTATTGATTACAGCACATGTTCCTTATTCTTACTTATTTATTGCCTATTAACTATGTAACAGTCACACATGGTAAAAAAATATTTTATCAATATTTCTTTGAATGATCATTATTGAGTATGTCTCAATTATTTTTCTCTGCTTTCTGACAGTTGATTTAATTCTTTCCAGGCAATTGGCAAAAAATCTGTTTTAGTGCTCTTTGTAAAGTTTTAGCAAGGTACCACAAGCAATTCTAGAATGAAAGTACTTATTTAAAGCTCTAGAATAAGATTAAAATGTATAATTTTGACAACTTTCAAAAGTTAACTATAATCAATCTTGTGTATTTTTTCTAGCTAATAAATCCTAAAATTGTATAAATGTCCAAAATTTTTATAATTAAATTTCAATTTCAAACAACTTTTATTTGCATAAACAATAAAATAACAATGTGGAGGTAAGACTATAAAGAAATGTTCTAGGCATTGTTGATGAATTCCCAATCTTATTTCAAACAGTTTATCTTTATTGTCAATTTATTCCAACTTTGGTATTTTTATGTGATTGTGATGAATTAATCATGTTTCTGATTTTTTCTTGTCTCATGTTGATTACTTAAAAATAATAGTTATTTCATTTGTATTTAAAATCATATCAATTTTTTTTTTCATTTATTGAGCAGGAATAGGCTATGAAATTAATAGTTACTGATTGTTTGAGCAGTGTTGTGCCTGTTAATGCAAGTTGAAGGGAATATGCTATCAAGTTCATAAAGTTACTGATTGCATAAAATACACAAGAACTGTTCTTTATGTTTAAATAATTTTCCTTTAATTGCAAGCTTTTGACCCTCTTACTGGAGCTGTCATTGGGCAACATTGTACTGAATGATATAGATAAATATTATTGACTTCAAATTCTGTTGAATGTTTTATGTTGTCAGACTGACTGTTCAGTTTGAGTTATTCTTCATGGGTCCATAAAACAAATGCATCATCTGTGTATCTTAGCCATATACGAGGTTGATGAAGATATGGTGTTGCAGTAGTGTTTTCAAAATGCTGCATGAATACTTCTTCTACTACAGGTGATAAAGGTGAACCCATTGAAGTACTGTTTGACCAATCAACTGGAAGTAATTTGCATCAAAACAAATGTCTTGGATACTGATGGATTTGCTTCAATGAGAAAGTGTAACTATTACCAGGCTATTCATAAATTGTCTGTGGATATTATTTGGTCAAAAATGTGGTCAACAAATTCTTGTGAGTTTTAATTGAATATGCCAAATCTAATGTTAGTAGTTTTAGCATGCTAAAAAGAAAACTTGGCTGTTTTGTAAGTTAGCACACCTGTGTAAGATACAATAGGCTGCATGGGTACATTTAGTTTGTGTATCTTTGACAAAACCTTAAATCTTTGGGGAAATTGAATAGTATGCATAGAATGTTCTGGAAAGTGTCATGCTTTTTATTTTTCACATTCCAAAAAATTCTCTATTTAGTCTTTTTTTTCTGTACATTGAGTTGGATCATAAGTTAGTCTTTGGTGAACTGTCAGTCAACAGTTGTTCTACCTTTTGTTCATAGTCATGTCAGTTTAAGAGGACATTAGCATTTCCCATATTGGCAGGTAATATAACAGTATCTCTGACTGATAAATTGTACTTGATGTTTCTCGTTATTGAGATTGCTTTGATGTTTTACCTTAAATTATTTCAGAACTCAATCACAATTGATTACCATTCACTGTTGTGAGATCTACTATATTTGTGACTTCTTGTGTGAAAGTAATGATGTAAGTGTAAGGTACTTGTTTTTGGATGGGAAAAAATTAAGTCCAAGAGATAGTATGCTTATTTCATTATCATTAAGATGTTTGTTGCTTAAGTGAATGACTATTTGTTTATTTAACTTCATTCTTTCATCCCTGTTACATCTGTATAGCAGTTAACTTTGTGAAACTTGCTAATTTGTCTGTTTTTACCTTGTGATGTTCTCAGTCAGTACTGATTACAATAATTCTTGTGATATCTGTATAATCTTTAACAATATAACACCAGTGCTTTCTCAAGAAGTGTAAAGTATATATTTTCCTGTCACCTGTAATATATATATATATATATATACATATACAAGCCACCACTGTTTGGCATATTCACATTTTTAAAGTAGATATGTGCTATAGTAACATGTATTCCCCCTTTATCTTTTTCTCAGACAAAATTTGCTTTGTAATGTACTGTTTGATATTAAATCTACTCTGTCTTTCTCTGTAGTTCAATCCAGAATTGTTAATTCTGGCATCAGGTTTTAATGCAAGAAGAAATGCTGCTTTGGTGAGTTTCTTTAAATAATATGCAACTTTAGGTGTAAGTAATTGTCTATTAACATCTGATCAAAGCAAGCTACTTATGTTGACATTATTCTTAATATTGGTTGGTTTAGATGTGGTTTTATGGTTTAATTACATTCACAATATTTTATGTGTGAACTAAATTATTTTAACCATCTAGATTTGAATTATTAAGCTAGCATAAAAGTATACTTCATTTTTGTTGAAATTATTTGGAAATTTTAAGTAAAATTAACTTAATTGATGTAATTTTTTCAATTTTCAGATTTAAGATTTTTATTTTAGAACACACTCTCACCCATATCTTTATCTCAGCCAATGGTTATTTAAATGTGTTGGAGCACTTTTGTTTTATTATATATATGTCTATATAGAGAAGCTGTTGTGTCTCTCCCGAGTGTTATAGTCACATGATCCACTTGCTGAGTTCTTTAGCTAATGGAAGAGTCATATTATCTATAGAGGTAAATTTTCTTTGGAATAGTATGGATAAAATCTAACTTTCTATACTTGTTTTACTTATTTTATACATAAGTTGGATCAAACAAATAGACAAGAAAAGGAATATTTATCATGAAGGATTTCTTGACATTTTGGTTTTGTTATGGCTACTAACCATAAACATCTTGCAACTTAATAGCATGTAATTTTTTTCATAAATATTTGCTTATTATTTCTTGTAACTATATATTTCAAATTTTGATGATAGATGTCAGTGATGCAGCATTTTAATTGAATAAACTTCAGCAACCTTAGGCAAACATTTGAAGAGTTAGATTATATAAACTACAATGAATCACAGTTATTTTGAGTAATCTTAATCTATTTTAAGCCATCTTAATAAAACATTTTTCAAATGTTTTAATGGAATATATCTTTGAACTGAGTATATAGTTTGTTAGACTACAGTTCTAACAATTAGTAACATTAAGATATAATCATGTTGTGGGTGAATGAGTATGATTTTAGGATCTTGGTTTAATTTATATAGAGAGAAAGTAAGAGGCTGTGAAAGAAATCTTATTTAAATGTGACTGTATACTGATAAAGTATTAATTATAATACCTAGAATATACTGCAAATCCATATAAGTTAAGTTATAAGTTATTTATTTGTTCAACTTCATTTGTTAAGTTTTTATTTCCCTCTGTAAGTACTTAGGCATCTTTCTACCCCAAAAGAACCTACTTAGAAGCTCATTTATATAACAATAATAATAAATTCATAGAAAATGTATACTTAAAGTTGATGAGCAAAACAAATTTACAAATGTATCAGTTTTTTTCTATATTGTGCCTAAATTACAAAAACAAGGTAACATTTGACCTCTGTGTCTAAGTTTTATTTTTGTAATTTTCAGGATGGATACAATCTAACCGACACACCTGAAGCAGTGTGTTGTTGTATAGATGCATTGTTAGGAAATCCTCTTCCTCCTCTTTCAGAGTGTCTCCAGGTGTCTTCTAGGTCAGCATAATATGTTTATGTTTCAGCTCTTATTAATCCATGTTGAATAAGGTAGTAAGAAGTGATGTTGTTATTTATCTTGGTAGAGAAGAAATAGAAGCACTTAAGCCTTTTTAAGTATTTCTTATGTAAAAGGAATATTCATATCACATGATCATTCAACTAGAACCATGTAGAGCACATATAGCCTGATAAATCCTAATTTTTTAAACTTTGTACTTGTTGTGACCTAAAGAGAAATGCATTTAAGAGATGGCTGTGTTAACATTGGAGTTCTAATGTATTGAAGGACTAGACAGAAACAACTAAAACACATAAATATAATTTCTATCTTAAACACAAGTCTGTCAGGTATAACTGCTGTATGTAAACCTTAATTAGACTTTTAATTAGTTTATATAAATAATGTTTTTTACTAAAACTAAAATACTCTTTATTTTCAGCATTAGATTAATGCCCATAAATGGGAGTTTCATAAAGTAAGTAGGTATTTGTTTAATAAGCAGTGTAAAAAATACAGGTGTCTTAAATTATAGAACCACATTATTAGAATGAGGACTATATAAGACAACTGCAGTTTGTAGTACAATGGAGACTAATGCCTCAGGTTCGCCCATGATCAGCTGCACCATTGACATGTGGAACATTCTTGGCTCAAAGGACATCCAAGAAATAATTAATTTCTGCTCATTCACTTCACTGTCTCCTTTCTTATGAAGCACACTGACAGTCTCTTTAAACTGTCGAAACCACCTTTGGTCACTCGGGTAGATACAATCTTTCCATAGACTCCCTTTTCACAGTGTTTTATTCATTAAAACATTTGATGCAGTTTCCGTATATTCTCCTGTTTAATTAGATGTGAAACGTGAATTCTGGAATGGTTTATAAATAATACAACTCATTAGTGGAGAAATGCTGTATTATGGTGTATTTTAAAATATCTTTAGGAAACTAAACTCAGGATTATACTTGCAGATTTCCTTTCCACTGCAGTAAAACCATTTTAAGAAGGCAAACATCCAGAACTGGGATGTCTCTTGTACCAGAATCAGAAGTAACACAGCAATTAAAAAATACAGTATAATACCATTTGTACATGTGAATTTTTTACTTTTTAAAATTTATATGAATATCAAATGGGTATTTACCACTGAAATACTAAAAGTCTTTCTTGTTGAGTCATTTCATGCTGTCAACAATGTAGAGCATGTGTCATATTACTTCACTCTCCCATCTTCCACATGACTTACTACACATGCCTCAGGAGAACATACGTAAATCCAGTTTTCCTGCAAGTTGTCAGATTCCTTGTTTGAAGTCATGATGATATATATTCATCCTGGTTGTGGGAAGAGAGTGGGAACATATTTCCGTGGTAAGTACCTGCATGAAATTAATTTAATTCTAAGAATGTAACATCCAAATTAGGTAGATTTGCTTCTGAAATGCTAAAACCCAGAATATTTGCACGAAAATGGAGGAGGGAACTGAAAGTATCATAAGGAATTCTGGTTTTCCAAAAAAGTAAGGCTCTTAGGCAGGATTAACAATGAGCAAAGTTAGCAGTACAACTGTCAACATAAAAACCTTGCTTGTGGTGGAAATGCAAGGCCTATATATCTCCTGATACATACACAGTAAGTCACATGGAAGGTGGAGGATGAAGAACTTTTGGCAGGTTGACACATCCTGCACTATGTCAAGGATATTTAGAATCTGTCAAATCCTTTATATCTATTTTGTGTTTGTAATTCATTGATGTCAAGGCTATCAAAAGTCCTCTACAATCCACTGATGTCAATGCTATGGAGATTTCTAGAAGACCTAAGTGATAGACGTATAAATAGCTGCAACCAGATGAGCAAAAACAGAGTAAAAGTAAAGCCATGTGAAAGAGAAGTTCGGTCAGACAAATTTAGAAAACATAAAGTAAGTTCCTGACATTTGGTGAGCCATGGCCAGGATTATGCAGTGGTAAACAGCAACAGAATAAAATGTGAATGACACTGGAAATAAGTAGGCCTATATATGCACAACTGTAGAAGTAGTGCAAATAGTGTGGACATTACAATCATGCTATATAACCATGTAAAATTTTGATAAATTGATAGAAAAAGAAGAGCATCTCTTTTTAAAAGACAGTAAACTCTGAAAGTTCATTAACAAGAACTAGAGAGAGAAGAATGGCAACAGAGAAGAGAGGAGGAGAGACAGAGAAGAGAGAAAGAAAAACTGAAAGGAGAGATGGAGAGAGAAGAAAATGAGAGAAAGAAAAGACTGGAAATAGAGAGAGAAAATAAGAGCACAAATTGAGAAAGAAGAAAAGAGAGAGAGAGGAGAGACTGCAAATGGAGAGAATAAGAGCACAAATTGATATTCCAAAGCTCACCCAACCAAAGGAAGAAGGACCCAAGAATGACAACAGAGTCAGGGCCAGCTGACCCAAGCTGCCCAAATTTGATGAACAGAAAGATTACATAAATGCTTTCCTGGAGAGATAAAGAAAGACTTACCCAAACTCAGAATTGGGACAGAGGTGACTGGGCAGTCTGTCTCAGCCCACTTCTCACAAGAAAAGGCCTACAAGTATATGCAGGCATGACATTAGTAGATGCCATGCACTATGACAAGTTAAAAGTGGCTTTGATGAAACGATATGAACTTACTGAAGAAGGTTTTTGCCGGAAGTTCAGAGAAGTCAAACCTGACACTGGAGAAACTGTATTTCAGTTTGTGGCACATCTACAATAATACTTCACCAGACAGACTGACATGGCCATGTGTGAAAACAGTTTTGAGGGACTGGCAGATCTACTAATATGAGAACAGTTCCTGATCACGTGTTCAACTGACATGTCACTGTTCCTAAAGGAGAGAGCACCAAAAGGATGTGGCGGAGATGATCAAGCTGGCTGAACAGTATATGGAAGTCTGTGGAGGGAGTATAACTGGCAAGTCCAAAAATATCCAGTTAAATTTGAAACCAGTGATGGTTGACCAGAAGCAAGAGACTACCAAAAATGACAGGAGGTTAATAGACAGAACTGATCATGATTGATCAGTGCACGACTAATGGTTGGCTCAAGTTAGGAAATGAATCAACAGTGCCAGTAGTGCTTTGGAGTATGTGACAAACATCAAGAGGTGATACCAAATCACAACATGCCAGTAAGTGAAGGCTATGTTGAGGACAAGAAAGTAAAGGTTCTATGAAATACTGGGTGCAGTAGTGCAGCAGTGAGAACCAGTCTAGTATCTGATGATCAGTGGATAGGCAAAGTACATCTGTGTGTGTGTGTACTAAGTGAAGGTAGTTTCCCATAGTAAACTAAAGGTGAATACTCCATATTATGTACGACTTGGTGATTGGAAACATACCAGGTAGTAGAAATTTGGAGGAACTGGACAGAAAGAAGATTGATGAAGCATCTGCAGTCACCACCAGAGCTCAAGAAGAGAAGAGTAAAGAAAGACCTTTCACTGCAGAAACTTTGGGACAATGCCCTGGAGAAAGTCGAACACAAGACAAAAGGGAAAGATACTTATAGATTAGAAAACAGAATCACCAGTAACTTCCATTGGTTGGAAGTTATTGGAGATGTGAGTAGATTCTGCAGGTCATGTGACATCTGCTAAAGGACAATACCTGAAGGGAAGGTAGCCTAGGTGCCATTGGGGGAGATACCTCTCATAGAAGAACCATTCAGCAGAGTAGCTGTCGACTTGATTGGACCACTAGCACTTGTTTCTGGCAAGGGCAACCAGTATGTGCTGACAGTTGTCGACTGTGCGACACGTTATCCAGAAGCCATAGCACTGGTGAAGATAGAGACAAAGAAAGTAGCAGAAGCCCTTCTGGAGGTATTTTGCAGAATAGGCTTTCCAAGAGAAATCCTGAGCGACAGAGGGACCCAGTTTACTTCAGAACTGATGTAGAAAGTGTGGAGACTCATCAGTACTCGGCAACTCTTCAACCCCCCCCCCCCTCATACAATGTGAGAGAGTCAATGGAGTTTTAAAAAGCATGCAAAAGAAAATATGCCAATATATATAACGTGACTGGAACTAGTACTTGCAGGCAGTATTATTTGCTTATTGAGAAGTCCCATAAGCAAGTACAGGATTTTTACCCTTTGATGCAAATATTAAAAGAGTTATGGACTGGAGAAGAAGAGTCAGAATTAAGGAACACATACCACTATGTGTTAGATCTCAAAAAACTGACTGGATGAGACCTGTCAACTCGCTCAACAGAGTTTGTATGAGCTCAAGGCAATTAGAAGCATTTTTATAACAAAAAGGCCAATGATTGATGTTTCAAGGAGAAGGTCTTAGTTCTGCTGCTCACAGTCCACAACAAACTCACCCTGCAGTGTAAAGGACCTTTTAAAGTACAGGAAATACTCAACAGAATGGAGAACAAGGTGAATGTGAATGGAAAAACCAAGATCTACCATGCCAATCTATTGAATAAGTATTTTGAGAGAGAAGAAGGTCTAACAGGTGCAGCTATTGAAACAAAGATGGATTTTGCAGGTGTGGCTGTCATAGATGCAGAACCAGAGGACAGTGACTTTGTCTTAGAAGATGAGGACCTACATCAGTGAGGAACTGACTGGCAAGCAGAAAAAAAGAGCTACAAGACTTATTATGCCAATACGCAGATATCTTCACAGATAGACCAGGAAAAACAGACCTTGTGCAACACAAGATCAAGACCACAACCAGGGATTCAGTCAAAGTGAAGCCCTATCAGATGCCTTATGAGAGATCTGATAAAACAGGAAGTTGAGACAATGTTGGAAGCTGGAATCATTGAGCCTTCAAATTCAGCCTACTGTTCACCAGTTGTAATCATGAAGAAGAGGGGTGGATCAAACTGCTTCTGTATAGACATCAGAAGCTGAATATCATGATGAAGTTCTACTTCGAACCTATAGGCAACCTAGAGGCTATCATGGCAAAACTAGATGGGGCCAGATTTTTTTCAAAGATCAACTTCAGTAAAGGTTATCAGCAGATCCAGGTGAAGATGGGATTTAAAGAGAAGACAGCATTTGTGACACCATATGGATGTTACCAATTTAAGCAGTTGCCATTGGGGTTAGTCAACTTGGCAGCAACATTCAACTGCATGATGAGGAGGATGTTATGCAACAACACCAACATCGAGCACTATGTGGATAACATTCTGACACACACACTGCAAGATAGGAAGACACCTGAAGATACTTACAGAGCTGTTCTAGCGAGTGAGGGCAGCAGGTTTCACCATCAGACTATCCAAGTGCTACATTGGATATTCTATGCTGGAGTTTGTTGGACACAAGGTGGAGGGCCAACAGAAGATAGCCATGGAAAAGGAGACCATTAACGACATACAAGATACACCATCTCCGATGACCAAGCAGCAAATAAAATTCTTTCTGGGGTTAGCAGGATAATACAGGAAATTCATCCCAAACTATGCTGAAGTTACTGCACCATTGACTGACCTTACCATGAAAGGTTTGCCCAACAAGGTGAAGTGGGAACAACCACGCTAGGTGGCATTCCAGAAATTAAAGAACATGTTGGGAAGTTTGCCAATTCTTAAAATGCCAGACTTCAACAAACTATTCATTGTTCAGGCAGATGCTTCAGGCATTGGGGCAATACTCATACAAGAACATGAAGATTGGATGTTTCCGGTAATATATATATATAAATAAAAAGCTGTTAAGTAGTGAGAAGAACTATTACATGATTAAGCGAGAGTGTCTGGCCATCATATTTGCTGTTCGGAAGTTCCAGAACTATCTATACATAAAGGAGTTCATCATCCAGACAGACCATCAACCACTTGCATAAATTCAGAGGTGCAAAATCGACAGTGCGAGGATCATGAGGTGGGTGTTATACTTTCAGAACCAGAGGTTCTGCATTGAAGCCAGAAAGGGGACTGCAAATGTTGGTGCAAACTGTATGAGTAGACTTTGAAGGTGAATTGAAAACATTCTTTGTATATACTGAAAAAAAAAGTAAATATTTCTCTTGAAGAGGGGGCTTATTGTCAGATATAAAAGACTGTTTAGTGTAGGCAGAATTTCTAATTTATTTATTTTGTGCTTGTAATTCATTGATGTCAAGGCTATTGAGATTTCTAGAAGGCCTAAGTGTTAGACGTATAAATTGCTGTGACCAGATGAGTGAAAACAGAGTAAAAGTAAAGTCACTTGAAAGAGAAGTTTGGTCAGAGAATAGTTAGAAAACATAAAGTTGACCATCATGAGAGTGAATGGCCTAACAGTTGATATGTTAGAGTGAGGTTAACAGTTTGAAAGAGATAAGGAGAATAATTAGTTTTATCAAAGGGTGTTCTAAACTAATTCAACCTGCCTGTGTGGACTTTGATAAAAGGCAGATGATTATTGGAAGTACAAAGAGCATATGATTATTGGAAGTACAAAATCCAGGTGATTATTAGAAGTTCAGGATACTACTGTGGTAACTCACATGACAGTATAAGTGAATTATACATGGATACTATTATGATAGAAATAGAGAAAAATAGTTCAACTTGTCAAATGAACTTTAAAACGATTGAATTGGCCTAAGTGGACTTTTGACAAGAAGAAGAGAACTGTATAGTGTTTAAGATGCAACTATAATCTCCATAGTGTAAAGAATTTTTGTATACATTTAACTTGTTTTGAATATATATATTATTTTAAAAACAAGTGGAGTGCATGCAGTTCATTTATTGTCGAATTTATTGCCAACATGTCACAGACACCTACTTTAGAAGAATCCTTAGCCCAACACACCCATATATTTACTTTACTATGCATTTCTACTAAAAAGTAAATTTTCAATAGAATCTAAAGTCACATGACTCTTGACAACACAAAAGCCACTCAACAAGAAAAAGCTTTTAGAGTTTCAGTGGTAAGTCTACCTGACTTAAACAATTAAAATGTTTTACATGAGAAATGTGCAGCTTCATTCTATCTTTTAGCTTAAAATATCTGTTCTATTTATGAAACTAATCACGATTTAACTAACTTATATAATGAACTTCCTATTCTTTGGTAAAAAGAGTAGCCCAAAAGTTGACAGTGGGTGATGTTGACTAGCTGCCTTCCCTCTAGCCATTCACTGCTAAATTAAGGATGTCTACCTAGAGAGGAGAATCACTGATGATGCATCAGCATCTAATGTGCCCCAACTGTCATATGTGGCCTTTGGACTCAAAAAAAAAAGTTTCATTAATATGAAACATAACTTGCATTATTAGCCATTTAGTTCAAATTAAATATTCATGATACTATGGTCTGTAGTGTGTAATTGGATAAGAGAACAAATTACCATTTATACTTAAGTGTAAACAAGAAATAGATCAGTGAATAATATATGTACATGTGTAAACTAATTTGGATGAGATAAAAAACATTTAACTACCTACTTTATTACAAAATGATGTACAATTCAAGTTCTAGATAGAATAATGAAGTAAAATAGGATAAGTTACGTTTTGTTAGTTTGATAAAAAAAATTATTTTTGTATATGAATTCTAGTACATTACATAATTTAAATGTCAAGACTTTAACATAAAATATTTTTTATTAGTTTGAAAATTTAAAACTTAACGTAAAGAGTACAATGATTAGACTTCAGTAAAAAAGCTTAAAGGAATTCTAATCAACTATGTGAAATATTTTGGAGATTTATTAAAATCAGGAAGACACTTGTGTATAGTTTGGATACTGCTAAAGTCAAAAAGTATTGTCTATTAGTAAACATATACATTTTTATTTTTTCTCAAGATATTGGAGTTAAAAATTAATAATTTATTCCTAGCAAAAATGTTAATTAAACAAATTTAAATAATGAAATATTTGTACCTGCAGCTGTATGATTGCAGTTCAATATCTTGTGTAGTTTCTGTACATAAATTATGGCTTAGGGCTAAACCTAGTTGTGTATATAAAAAATGTCTTACTTCATAATATTGAAGTAAAGTTTAATTAGATATTTTAAGATTAAATATATAAGAAATATGAAATGATAGTATTTATTTACATTATTGTAGTGCTGTTGACTCAATACAAAAAATATTCCATGTCCTTAAAAAATATTGGAGCTGTCTACAGTTTGATGGCAAGTATTTCACTAGTGTTTCCTTTATCATGCATATCCATTCTTTCATCTGATTCTTTTTTAATTAACATTATTTTATTAAAGTTTGCTTAATCTAACATTGATATTATTTCATCATTGTTTGCTGTTTGTAACATAAGCTTTAAATCATCTCTGCTCTTTCTAATGTAAACATTTATTTTCATTAACATTTAAGTTTTTAACATGGATATTACAATTTTGTAGCCTGTTTATATGTAAATATTGTCCAAGGGTCTCCATCTTAGATTTAACTAAAATGATATAATTATAAATCTTAAAAATATATATTAAAACTAGAATATATGTACAAAATAGGAATTCACTTAGCATTAGAATTGTTTTTGTTGTTGTTTTGTTTTTTGTATAGGTATTGTATTTTCTTATCAAACTATGGAATAACCCCAGTAATAAATACAATGTAGGAATTAAATTAAAAATTATTTAAAAACCACAATATGACAAGTAATTGATTCATACACCAAATTCAGTGTAATAACTATCACTCAGTTTATATAGGGGGAAAACAAACAGAATTATAAAAACAATATTTTCTCTGTAACTTTAAAAATTTCAATCACAATGTCAGCTTGTAAGACATTAAGATACTAAGTAAGGAACAAGATGTATGAAAAAGAAAAACCTATAGAAGTATTATTAGTTGAGCATTAGCACAACCAACAATGAATGGATATCCAACTACCCTCTGTAGTTATACTAGCATTAGTACAACCAACAACAAATGGATATCCAGGTTCCCTTTATACTTAGTAATGGGATGATCTCACCATCTAAGGCATTGTAGGAAGTTTCCTTATTACTAACAATAAATCTATATATTGTTTATGTTTATCCTTAAAAATGTCTTGCTCTAAGATAAAACCATATGTGATGGAATATTAATGATTTTAATAAATTTCAGTTAATCATTTGAAGCTGATTTTGGGTGTTTACAGTTTTGTCGTTCATTGAATATTCATTTAATCTATAAGGTTTTCCGGTCATTGTTTTTTAATTATCCTAGAAACTAAGCTAGCAGTGCAACCTCTGATTTCATTTGGATATTAGTCGTAGATGTACATAATTCTGAATTATGTTCTGGTTTTAGTTGACCTTCCAGCTTATGAACCTCATCTAAGTCCTTCTGAAGTATCTAGGTGAGTATTTGGTTTACATACTTGCCATGTGCTTAACTGTCTATGAATTAGGATTTATTGTTTTTCGTGATTGACATACTTGGAACACACTCAGACTTCAGAATACTAAAGTAAATATGAGTAAGTAAGGACTGTGATCTCACCTGATCTAAAAATTATAACAAACTTTGGTTCTTAGACCTTCATAAACGTTTTAGTTATTTTGTATTGGCTTATTGTAATCTTCTAAACATTTTATTTTCAGTACTGGTTCCAGTGTTAACAGATAATCAACAACTGATTTGTTATTTACTATTTGAAGTATAATTGTGCCTTGCATTACTATAAGCAGTTCATTTAAAACTTCACAGTTGTTCCGCTGATATGTTTTTTTCTATAATAATAACTTCATTCATATAATTACTTGTTCTTTTAGTGGTGTCCAATAGGGTTTTGATGCTCACCAAACTTATGGTGATCAGGTTACCATATTCACCACATGATACAAAATGTATGTAATATTAACAAACTTATCCGTGTCTGAAATGAGGGAAAAATATTTAGGTAAATTAGAAACCTTCAAAATCATTGAAAACATTTTCTACACACACACAAAAGTAAATTTGGAATATTAATGCAAAAATAGAATAAGAAATATAACAGATGAAGAGAATCAATTTGCAACATGTCTGTGGCTGACGAGTGTCAAATGTATTGGACAACACTGTTCTAGAGTGATGCATATTCACATAAGTGGTGAATATAAAAATTATAATATATCCCTTAGCATTTTGATGCTTTTGTGGAAACAAATTTTACTTAGTAATTGTAAAATAAAGGTTTTAGTATAGCTTTTGTACATTTTGGGCTCTTTTGTTTCAAAGTTAGTACAGGTGATATTAGGATATAATGCTGTAAAATAGAATTATTAGTATGTCTTCTCTACATGTTTTTGTTTTATTTCTTTATTGATAAAGCAATTTTATCAAATTGAAATGGTAGTATATCTTGTGTGCTTTTTTGGGTGATTATTTTCTAAAGTTACTACTGCTGTGAAATAAAAGCATTTGTATTTTTTATATATCTATTTTTTGATGATGCATGAGGCACTTGGCTAATATTATCAAGTAAAGATATGGGTATTACTTAGGTATCCATGAAATTCCTTTGTTTATTGTTTGAAATAAATGTTACTTTTTTTGATATAGTAAAATGATGCTGTTAGACTTTCTTGCATACATCTGAAATTTTCAGTTTTTTTTGTTACAGTTATCATTGTGATGAATTGAGCTGAGTAAAATAATGGATTATCGATGAGCAGTGATAACATCAATTAGAGTCTTGTAACCAGTTAACTTGAAACTATCTAATTAATTGAAATAATGAACTCAGTTTCAGAGAGATTCAGAACTATGTTGTGATGAATATCCTGTTATTCATACATCACATTATTCCACAAAAACTATTTTCATCAGAAAATGCCACAGAACTAAGGAAATAAAATTTTGTATCAAAAAGCTTAAAGTTGAAAATGCCTAGCAGTTTATTATAAAATCTTGCAAGGACTCTCCTGTTAGCATTAATCATTGGAATTAACATATAAAAATTTGTATGGAATCTATTAGGACACACCTGACAGCATATACTAGCTTGTTAGGACTCTCCTATTAGAAAACATGTAACAGTTAACATATAAAATCTTTTAAGTATCTGGAAATTAGCTTATAAAATCTTGTTAGAATGATCCCAGTAGAGAATATATTCATAGTTATTTTGTTTGGATTACTAAATTTATGTTACAATATATAAATTAAATTTTAGAGAACCAACTTTTAAGGCAAAAACATTTGAACTTAGTTTTATTCTTTCCATATTGATAATTAAATTTGAACTAGTAAAACGTTTGACAGCAAGTAAAATCTTCTAAGAAGTGCTTTTACTTCTACTTTCAAGAACCTTATTATTTCTTAGAATCTGATAATAATTTTTGGTTATTTATACCTATAATTTAGGGCTCAAAACATTATGTACTACAAGGAAAATGCTGCAAGGTGGTATTGAGATGGTGTTACATTGGATGTCATATATAAATGAATTAATCAAAAGTTTTGTCAATAGTAAATAATTTTTCTAATCTTGACTTGTAATTTCGTCATCTGTCAGGTAAAATAAAATAAAACTAAAGACTTTATAAGCCAGATACTTGAGAATGTGAAGTTTCAGATTGAATGTTGCTTAAAACTCATTTTGAACTTATAATTATTGTGGGTTTAATTATTCTGAGAGCTAATTTGAAAGTGTTGTATTATTAAGTAGATTTTGTGATAATTGACAGGTTTTTCCTTCTGTTTCTTTTTCCCAACCCAGTTTTTAGTATTATAACTCTTCAGACTTACCTCTGAGCCACTTGTGGGCAAAACATAGACAGTAATACTTATCACAATGTTTAACTTGGTATGTGTCATATATCATGATTTGAAATTTTACTGTATATGAAATGTGCTGTATTCAAGATTTTTTATATTTCAAGGATTTGCGAAATTGTCATTCATCTTTGGAAAAGAAAAAATGTATATGGACATTTTTTGCAATGAATGTATTTTCAAAAACCCAGTTAATTTGTACTGAAAATGAAATAAAAATCATATACAAAAAACATTTCTATTTAGTTAAGAGAAAAATCAAAATTTTTTTTGATTTTATCTGATAGGGGACCTAATCCAGTAACACTTTAAACAAAATTTTTTTATGAAAAGAAATATTTAATGAACATAATCTAAATGAAACAATAATATTTGCATCAAAAACTTAATGAACATTATTGTTTTATCGTGTGATAAACAGAATATAGTTTTGATAATTGAATACCATTTTATTGCACAAGTCTTTTGTCTTTAGAAAGTTGCCAAAGTAAACAAAATAAGATAGTACTCAATAGTAGAAACAGCTTGGAAAACATGGCTTTGGTTATTTTCTGAAGCAATAAGTACTGATGTATAGAAATAGTTGCAGTGCATAACTTAAAAATATGCTAGCGCAGATAGCCCTCATGTAGGTTTGCACGAAATTCAAAAACAAACAAACACACACAAAACAAACTGAACAAAGCCGAACAAGTTTAGAATAAAATAACCACGGTTAATATAATTGAAATCATACATGGTATGCTTGCTTCTAGTACAATGTTGTTTCTGAAAAGTTGGCAGACCAATATAAGTGTAACATAGATGTTAAGTTTGTTTGTTTGTTATGGATTTCG